TAGACCAATGACAAAAAGCACTTCCGCTTTGAATAATGGCTCGGTTAAATAAGCCTTAAAATGTAAAAATATTTATATAGCATACGTTTATAACATAAAAGTGTATGTTATTTATGTGCAGTTTTACATTTTAAAAATAATCATAATATTTCCCAAAAATTTAAATAATGAAATACCCAGACCATGTTGACACCATTAAGTTTCAAAATAGGCCAAATCCCTCTCAAATATTAGAACTAATATGCATTGGCGGTTTTACACTCACGTGAGACCAGGTTATATCAATTGTTAGAATCAGCAGGACAGTAATACTGAATATTATTATCCTACTGATCTTAATACCAATTGAAGTTTAATTTCACCTATATTTTAACGTAATTAGTAGAATAGAATTACGGTTTAACTGAAAAAATATTGAAAAAAGATTAAATTTTCAGTTACTTATATAATATATAGTGAATGCATTAAATTGGTCTAATCTAACACCTTTCGAACGAACTATACATTATCACAAAAAATTAAACAAACCTATTTAATAATTAAAAATAATTATTATTTTAAAGTTAAATAAAAAAATACTACGCAATTTAAATTACTTTGTCCACATCGTATGTGTATGGATTAAGGCAAAGAATAATTAATATTAATAACATTGTAGATGGGAACATTTACTCATACCTTTAGACATTGGTGAAAACAAATGGTTATGAACAGAACTTGCTCCAGCTGACATGCCGGTGATCGTGACGCTGTTGGGGTCACCACCGAATGCCACGATGTTTTGTTGTATCCATTTCAATGCTGCTACTTGGTCTTTCAATCCGTTATTTCCTGACAAAACACCATCGCCGGTGGAAGCAAATCCTAATACGCCCAAACGGTAATTTATCGATACGTAAACGAAATCGTTGTTGTCCAAAAGATAGTGTGGACCATATAATATGCCTTCGCCAAAATAGTATCCGCCGCCATGTATGTGCACTATTACGTTCATTAAATCACCTGCGGAATTCTCTTGTGGTAGCTGTTTAATAAATGAAATAACATTTTTATGTACATTGCAACGCTATGGTTGGGATCTAGGGTATTGATATGAAGCAAGGCTTGTGATTGGAGTGAAATGCATATATTGTATTTGTAAATTACCTTAGGAGTATAAACATTGAGAAATAAACAATCTTCCTGACCAATAATTTTAGAACCAGATCCAAACTCTATTCCTAAACAGGCACTTCCAGGAACGGTGGCGTTCCACACTCCCAACCAAGGCTGTACGGGTTGTGGTTCCTGTAA